CGAATAAGGAATAACATGGAAAGAAATTTGCAAATTCTGTTTTCGAACGCGAGAAGAATTTGTGTCTTCGATGGAACAAGTTGTGATGAAAGTCTGGAGTAGAATTTAATTATCCAATAAACCGAAAACCATGTACCACCCATCACCACGATCATTTTCTTCATTGCGAACAACATCGAGAAAGGGATTTGTTTGTTGCATCTTTATTAACATTATACAATTGCACGACATATGGCAAATATTAAAGATGTATAACATCTCAAATTATACATAAGCCAATTACATCACCTCCAATATCACCGATATCCGAGATATTCTTCCTTTCTTGTTTGAAACATTATCAAATATTATTTTCACATGGGATAAATCGAATCATAGACTAAAATTATGAAACAAGATATATATTGATTTTACAATTTATAAACGACATTCTTCCCATTCCCGTTCACAAAATGAAGGAAGGAATAAAATGGATACGGATGTTTCTGGATAATTCTCTCTACAAAGGGAACAAAATATATCCACGTATAAACACGCTTTTAAATCTCACGAACACGAAATATCAACGAAGATCGATCCGGTTACAACAGCACGATCATACGTCGAAAAGCTCTCCATTCCACCGGAAGACTTTTCCATTTAAAAATAAAAGATCCGGCAAGGGATATAGAGATAAGAGAAAAACAAGCAAACAAGCGACAAGGATGAAAAGCTTTCCCCGCGCGTGATTCGATTGTTAAACGAAAAACCGAAGTCGATCCGTCCATCGTTTCGCGGGAGGGGTGTTAGGTGAGAAAACACGGCGATCTTCTTTTCTCTCTCTCTCTCTTTCCTCTCTTTCTCTCTCTCCTCTCTTTCTCTCTCTCCTTTCCTATCTTTTGCTATTTTATAAGCGAGGAACATCGCCAGCGGGCCAATCCTCGTCGATCGTCGAGACGAGACCAGGGGGGGTCCGCTTTATCGAATTATGTCGCAGTTTCCGGGGGAAGGAGGAAGAGAGGGAAGGGGTAGGGGTCGTGCACGTCGCCGTTTCGTTCCATCCCGCGGGAACTGGATGCCGGCGTGCCGTCAACTAATTCGGCATACATCGCTGGAACACCGGCGATCGACCCGGATCGCGGCCTCCTCCTGCATTTTCCTACCCTTCCCTTTTAAGCTCCCCTTAACCATCCACCCTCTTCCTTCCTTCCTTCCTTCCTTCCTTCCTTCCTTCCTTCACTTCTGTCCAATTAAAAGCGCCGCGGTTATCCTCGAAACGCGCATTAGCGAGAATCGTTGCTCGAATGGTTGATGAACGTCGATCGAATCTTTTTTATCTCGGCGTGAGGAAATATTGGGATCTGGCGATGGTTAGAATGTAGGGAATTGCGGAAATTGTTGAGTGAAAAATGAGAGAGAAGATAATTCTCTGAATGAAAAATAACACGTTGAGGAAGGGATTGAATTTTAAAAATTAAATTTTTCTTATTATTTATGAAAAAAAGAAACGATTGGATAGTTTTGTTTGTTTTTATTCACTTTGTATGCATTTGGAATACTAGTTTATTTTGCCAAATAGTTAATACTTCAATTTGCAACTCGATTGTTGGTACGTAAAATTTACCCGACGATGAAAATATTGGTATGGGTGGTGTTTGCCGGGATCTTACAACTCTCCAACATTTCACCGACTGTTTAAACATCTTTCCCCCTCGTACTCGGATGAATTGCTCGGTCGGTTTGCAAAGCTCGGTGGGTAACGAGCGGTGCCTTCGTCGCTTGCCAATTAGCGCACACGTTTCTCTTTTTAATAATATAACAGGCTACGTGTGCGGCGTTGAAACCGGCCATAATTACGTGGAAACCGCTAATGCGTGCCAGGGCAAATACGTTACGACCACGGGAATCCACGGCTTATCGTACGTGCCTCTCAATGATTTCTGCCTTTGTTTCACGCGTCCCTGTCCCTCGATGAATAGGACCCCCACCCAAACCTCGACTGCATCGATAAACCTTTCCTTTCCCTTGCTTTGGTTGAGTCTAATGTCTCTTTCTTGAGCATACAAAGTGAATTAATTTATCCACTCGGTTGATTAAATTTTTATTTGTTTTCGCAGAGTGAGAAACATTTGGCAAAGTGACAATTGATTAATCTTTTTGATGATTTTAAAATCTTCGAATTTATCGAGAGAAAGGAAAGAGAAGAGAGAAATGCAACAATCGAAAAATAAAAAAAAAGAAAATTCAACACGATGTATTGCATCGTATCTGGCGATACGATCTTCCCTTTAACGCTTTCCCTTTCCGCTGACCTTTCTCTCGAGAACGTCGATTGCATCTGTCACCGACCGATAAATTCTTGGACGAACTTGGACAATCGAATTCCGTGTCCGTGGCCCTTTTATTTATTTGTTACTTTATAAATGTTAGTTCGATTCGAGCAATCGGTCACGCGCATTGAACGTGACGTTTCCAATTTCCCCGGCCCATTTCCCAATTTGCCGATCTTCATAAAAGTCACGAGATCAGGCAGCGTATCGTTTTTTTTTTTTTTTTCTTTCTTCTAATCGTTTTCGACGCTTTTGAAATTTT